ACACACCACCTACAGGTCATCACACACCACCTACAGGTCATCACACATCACCTACAGGTCCTCACACCACCTACAGGTCCTCACACCACCTACAGGTCCTCACACCACCTCCAGGTCATCACCCACCACCTACAGGTCATCACACACCACCTACAGGTCATCACCCACCACCTACAGGTCATCACACTACCTACAGGTCATCACCCACCACCTACAGGTCCTCACACACCACCTACAGGTCGTCACACCACCTACAGGTCATCACCCACCACCTTCAGGTCATCACACTACCTACAGGTCATCACCCACCACCTACAGGTCATCACACACCACCTACAGGTCATCACACCACCTACAGGTCATCACCCACCACCTACAGGTCATCACACTACCTACAGGTCATCACACACTACCTACAGGTCATCACCCACCACCTACAGGTCATCACCCACCACCTACAGGTCATCACACCACCTACAGGTCATCACACACTACCTGCAGGTCATCACACTACCTACAGGTCATCACACTACCTACAGGTCATCACACACCACCTACAGGTCATCACACACCACCTACAGGTCATCACACACCACCTACAGGTCCTCACACCACCTACAGGTCCTCACACCACCTCCAGGTCATCACCCACCACCTACAGGTCATCACACACCACCTACAGGTCATCACCCACCACCTACAGGTCATCACACTACCTACAGGTCATCACCCACCACCTACAGGTCCTCACACACCACCTACAGGTCGTCACACCACCTACAGGTCATCACCCACCACCTACAGGTCATCACACACCACCTACAGGTCATCACACCACCTACAGGTCATCACCCACCACCTACAGGTCATCACACTACCTACAGGTCATCACACACTACCTACAGGTCATCACCCACCACCTACAGGTCATCACCCACCACCTACAGGTCATCACACCACCTACAGGTCATCACACACCACCTACAGGTCCTCACACCACCTACATGTCATCACCTACCACCTACAGGTCATCACACACCACCTACAGGTCATCACACACCACCTACAGGTCATCACACACTACCTACAGGTCATCACACACTACCTACAGGTCATCACACACCACCTACAGGTCATCACACACCACCTACAGGTCATCACACCACCTACAGGTCATCACACACCACCTACAGGTCATCACACACTACCTACAGGTCATCACCCACCACCTACAGGTCATCACACACCACCTACAGGTCATCACACACCACCTACAGGTCATCACCCACCACCTACAGGTCATCACCCACCACCTACAGGTCATCACACACTACCTACAGGTCATCACACACTACCTACAGATCATCACCCACCACCTACAGGTCATCATCCACCACCTACAGGTCATCACACACCAACTACAGGTCGTCACCCACCACCTACGGGTCATCACCCACCACCTACAGGTCCTCACACACTACCTACAGGTCATCACACACCACCTACAGGTCATCACACACCACCTACAGGTCATCACCCACCACCTACAGGTCATCACCCACCACCTACATGTCATCACACACTACCTACAGGTCATCACACACCACCTACAGGTCATCACACCACCTACAGGTCATCACCCACCACCTACAGGTCATCACACACTACCTTCAGGTCATCACACACCACCTACAGGTCATCACACACCATCTACAGGTCATCACACACTACCTACAGGTCATCACACACTACCTACAGGTCATCACACACCAGCTACAGGTCATCACACACCACCTACAGGTCATCACACACTACCTACAGGTCATCACACACCACCTACAGGTCATCACACACCACCTACAGGTCATCACCCACCACCTACAGGTCATCACACACTACCTACAGGTCATCACCCACCACCTGCAGGTCATCACCCACCACCTACAGGTCATCACCCACCACCTACAGGTCATCACACACCACCTGCAGGTCATCACCCACAACCTACAGGTCATCACCCATCACCTGTAGGTCATCACCCACCACGTGCAGGTCATCACCCACCACCTACAGGTCATCACACACCACCTACAGGTCATCACCCACCACCTACAGGTCATCACACACTACCTTCAGGTCATCACACACCACCTACAGGTCATCACACACCACCTACAGGTCATCACACACCACCTACAGGTCATCACACACCACCTACAGGTCCTCACACCACCTACATGTCATCACCCACCACCTACAGGTCATCACACACCACCTACAGGTCATCACACACCACCTACAGGTCATCACACACTACCTACAGGTCATCACACACTACCTACAGGTCATCACACACCACCTACAGGTCATCACACACCACCTACAGGTCATCACACCACCTACAGGTCATCACACACCCCCTACAGGTCATCACACACTACCTACAGGTCATCACCCACCACCTACAGGTCATCACACACCACCTACAGGTCATCACACCACCTACAGGTCATCACCTACCACCTACAGGTCATCACCTACCACCTACAGGTCATCACACACTACCTACAGGTCATCACACACCACCTACAGGTCATCACACACCCTCTACAGGTCATCACACACTACCTACAGGTCATCACACACTACCTACAGGTCATCACACACCACCTACAGGTCATCACACACCACCTACAGGTCATCACATACCACCTACAGGTCATCACACACTACCTACAGGTCATCACACACCACCTACAGGTCATCACACACCACCTACAGGTCATCACCCACCACCTACAGGTCATCACACACTACCTACAGGTCATAACCCACCACCTGCAGGTCATCACCCACCACCTACAGGTCATCACCCACCACCTACAGGTCATCACACACCACCTGCAGGTCATCACCTACCACCTACAGGTCATCACCCACCACCTGTAGGTCATCACCCACCACGTGCAGGTAATCACACACCACCTACAGGTCATCACACACCACCTACAGGTCATCACCCACCACCTGCAGGTCATCACACACTACCTACAGGTCATCACCCACCACCTACAGGTCATCACACACCACCTACAGGTCATCACACCACCTACAGGTCATCACCTACCACCTACAGGTCATCACACACTACCTACAGGTCATCACACACCACCTACAGGTCATCACACACCCTCTACAGGTCATCACACACTACCTACAGGTCATCACACACTACCTACAGGTCATCACACACCACCTACAGGTCATCACACACCACCTACAGGTCATCACACACCACCTACTGGTCCTCACACCACCTACAGGTCCTCACACCACCTACAGGTCATCACCCACCACCTACAGGTCATCACTCACCACCTACAGGTCATCACACACCACCTACAGGTCATCACACACCACCTACAGGTCATCACACACCACCTACAGGTCATCACACACCACCTACAGGTCATCACACACCACCTACAGGTCCTCACACCACCTACAGGTCATCACACACTACCTGCAGGTCATCACACTACCTACAGGTCATCACACTACCTACAGGTCATCACACGCCTACAGGTCATCACACACCACCTACAGGTCATCACACACCACCTACAGGTCATCACACACCACCTACAGGTCATCACACACCACCTACAGGTCATCACACACCACCTACAGGTCCTCACCCACCACCTACAGGTCATCACACACCACCTACAGGTCATCACACACCACCTACAGGTCATCACACACTACCTACAGGTCATCACACACCACCTACAGGTCATCACACACCACCTACAGGTCATCACACCACCTACAGGTCATCACACACCACCTACAGGTCATCACACACCACCTACAGGTCATCACACACTACCTACAGGTCATCACTCACCACCTACAGGTCATCACACACCACCTACAGGTCATCACCCACCACCTACAGGTCATCACCCACCACCTACAGGTCATCACACACTACCTACAGGTCATCACACACTACCTACAGGTCATCACACACCACCTACAGGTCATCACACACCACCTACAGGTCATCACCCACCACCTACAGGTCATCACACACTACCTACAGGTCATCACCCACCACCTACAGGTCATCATCCACCACCTACAGGTCATCACACACCAACTACAGGTCATCACCCACCACCTACAGGTCATCACCCACCACCTACAGGTCCTCACACACTACCTACAGGTCATCACACACCACCTACAGGTCATCACACACTACACCTACAGGTCATCACACACCACCTACAGGTCATCACACACACTACAGGTCATCACACACCACCTACAGGTCATCACACACTACACCTACAGGTCATCACACACCACCTACAGGTCATCACACACCACCTACAGGTCATCACACTGCTACACACGACAGGTCATCACACTGCTACACACAACAGGTCATCACACTGCTACACACGACAGGTCACACACACACAGGTCATCACACACCACCTACAGGTCATCACACACCACCTACAGGTCATCACACTGCTACACACAGGTCATCACACTGCTACACCTACAGGTCATCACACACCACCTACAGGTCATCACACACCACCTACAGGTCATCACACACCACCTACAGGTCATCACACACCACCTACAGGTCATCACACACCACCTACAGGTCATCACACACCACCTACAGGTCATCACACACCACCTACAGGTCATCACACTGCTACACACAACAGGTCATCACACTACACCTACAGGTCATCACACTGCTACACACAACAGGTCACACACCACCTACAGGTCATCACCCACCACCTACATGTCATTACACACCACCTACAGGTCATCACCCACCACCTACAGGTCATCACACCACCTACAGGTCGTGTGTGAGTGTTCCCACACTGTGTACCAATCAACACACACTATGTCAGTGTTCCAGCAACAAGTCAACAAGTCCAGGAATAAGTCAACAAGTCTAGGAACAAGTCAACAAGTCAACAAGTCCAGCAACAAGTCAACAAGTCCAGCAACAAGTCAACAAGTCCAGCAACAAGTCAACAAGTTCAGGAACAAGTCAACAAGTCAACAAGTCCAGGAACAAGTCAACAAGTCAGCAACAAGTCAACAAGTCCAGCAACAAGTCAACAAGTCAACAAGTCCAGCAACAAGTCAACAAGTCCAGGAGCAAGTCAACAAGTCCAGCAACAAGTCAACAAGTCCAGGAACAAGTCAAGAAGTCAGCAACAAGTCAACAAGTCCAGGAACAAGTCAACAAGTCAGCAACAAGTCAACAAGTCCAGCAACAAGTCAACAAGTCCAGGAACAAGTCAACAAGTCCAGCAACAAGTCAAGAAGTCAGCAACAAGTCAACAAGTCCAGCAACAAGTCAACAAGTCAGCAACAAGTCAACAAGTCCAGCAACAAGTCAACAAGTCCAGGAACAAGTCAACAAGTCCAGCAACAAGTCAACAAGTCCAGGAACAAGTCAAGAAGTCAGCAACAAGTCAACAAGTCCAGCAACAAGTCAACAAGTCCAGCAACAAGTCAACAAGTCCAGGAACAAGTCAAGAAGTCAGCAACAAGTCAACAAGTCCAGCAACAAGTCAACAAGTCCAGGAACAAGTCAAGAAGTCAGCAACAAGTCAACAAGTCCAGGAACAAGTCAAGAAGTCAGCAACAAGTCAACAAGTCCAGCAACAAGTCAACAAGTCAGCAACAAGTCAACAAGTCCAGGAACAAGTCAACAAGTCCATCAACAAGTCAACAAGTCCAGGAACAAGTCAAGAAGTCAGCAACAAGTCAGTAAGTCCAGCAACAAGTCAACAAGTCCAACAACAAGTCAACAAGTCCAGGAGCAAGTCAAGAAGTCAGCAACAAGTCAACAAGTCCAGCAACAAGTCAACAAGTCAGCAACAAGTCAACAAGTCCAGCAACAAGTCAACAAGTCCAGGAACAAGTCAACAAGTCAGCAACAAGTCAACAAGTCCAGCAACAAGTCAACAAGTCCAGGAACAAGTCAAGAAGTTAGCAACAAGTCAACAAGTCCAGCAACAAGTCAACAAGTCCAGGAACAAGTCAAGAAGTCAGCAACAAGTCAACAAGTCCAGCAACAAGTCAACAAGTCAAGGAACAAGTCAAGAAGTCAGCAACAAGTCAACAAGTCCAGGAACAAGTCAAGAAGTCAGCAACAAGTCAACAAGTCCAGCAACAAGTCAACAAGTCCAGGAACAAGTCAACAAGTCAGCAACAAGTCAACAAGTCCAGCAACAAGTCAACAAGTCCAGGAACAAGTCAACAAGTCAGCAACAAGTCAACAAGTCCAGCAACAAGTCAACAAGTCCAGGAACAAGTCAACAAGTCAGCAACAAGTCAACAAGTCCAGGAACAAGTCAACAAGTCAGCAACAAGTCAACAAGTCCAGCAACAAGTCAACAAGTCAGCAACAAGTCAACAAGTCCAGCAACAAGTCAACAAGTCCAGGAACAAGTCAACAAGTCAGCAACACGTCAACAAGTCCAGGAACAAGTCAAGAAGTCAGCAACAAGTCAACAAGTCCAGCAACAAGTCAACAAGTCCAGGAACAAGTCTAGAAGTCAGCAACAAGTCAACAAGTCCAGCAACAAGTCAACAAGTCCAGGAACAAGTCAACAAGTCAGCAACAAGTCAACAAGTCCAGCAACAAGTCAACAAGTCCAGGAACAAGTCAAGAAGTTAGCAACAAGTCAACAAGTCCAGCAACAAGTCAACAAGTCCAGGAACTAGTCAACAAGTCAGCAACAAGTCAACAAGTCCAGCAACAAGTCAACAAGTCCAGGAACAAGTCAACAAGTCAGCAACAAGTCAACAAGTCCAGCAACAAGTCAACAAGTCCAGGAACAAGTCAACAAGTCAGCAACAAGTCAACAAGTCCAGCAACAAGTCAACAAGTCCAGGAACAAGTCAACAAGTCAGCAACAAGTCAACAAGTCCAGCAACAAGTCAACAAGTCCAGCAACAAGTCAACAAGTCAGCAACAAGTCAACAAGTCCAGGAACAAGTCAACAAGTCCATCAACAAGTCAACAAGTCCAGGAACAAGTCAAGAAGTCAGCAACAAGTCAACAAGTCCAGCAACAAGTCAACAAGTCCAGGAACAAGTCAACAAGTCCAGGAACAAGTCAACAAGTCAGCAACAAGTCAACAAGTCCAGCAACAAGTCAACAAGTCCAGGAACAAGTCAACAAGTCAGCAACAAGTCAACAAGTCCAGCAACAAGTCAACAAGTCCAGGAACAAGTCAACAAGTCCAGCAACAAGTCAACAAGTCCAGCAACAAGTCAACAAGTCCAGCAACAAGTCCAGGAACAAGTCAACAAGTCCAACAACAAGTCAACAAGTCCAGGAACAAGTCAATAAGTCCAGCAACAAGTCAACAAGTCCAGGAACAAGTCAACAAGTCCAGCAACAAGTCAACAGTCCAGGAACAAGTTAGTTCCCAACCCACGCCCCAATTTAACATTAATAAACAACACTCTGTAAGAGTTTAGTGTCTAAATAAATTTTAGATGAAACTTCAAAGACAAGAAAACACAGTTGTTCGTCATTAATGAAATCAAAGCATTTCAAATATCATAACTACTATGGCCTGTCAGCCTTGAAGGTTGACCTCCACAGCTACTTGAAGCCTTCAACTGTTGCAACACATTGATGGGAAAAGTTTGAACACAAAATGAAAGGAACGACACATTTACATCTCTATTTATTATTCAAGTGTTGATCATTATTTTCTTGAATAGAAATTTGAAATTTGAGTGAAAAGCACTGTATAAAAGTTCCATTTGCTTTCGAGAATTTCTCAGTCTATCGTAATATGACATGGAAACACTTGAGGAAACAAATGACTTACTCCATCTCACATGCAACATTTAGAATTATACAAAAATGAACTTTGTCCTCAAATTTGAATCATTATTTCTAACAAACATAGACTCTCAGATGAGTGTCGTGTTGAAGTCTCCTCATATGACAAGTTACAAATGTATCCAGTTTCATCGTGCACGCTGGCCTGGGCATGTACCAGGGACAGGAACCAACTCAGTGTTGCAGGCGAGGTGCATGTTGCAATGTCATCATTTGACCCGAAGTGGGTTAAAACAACAGGTACAACAGCCGTCCCCACCACCTACACACGGACGTCCTCAGCCAATGATGGTGACATGGCACTGAGTCAACGTTGAAAACGTTGATTAAAACATTGATTAAAACGTTGAAAACATTTATTAAAACGTTTAAAACGTTGATTAAAACGTTGAAAACATTGATTAAAACGTTTAAAACGTTGATTAAAACGTTTAAAACGTTAAAAACTTTTATTAAAACGTTGCCCGAACATGTTTTACACAATGGGCCTGAACAGGTCTTGCAATATTGAATATTATCAAGATTATATTATTATGAAATAATTTATTTATTAGATGAGTGATTAGTTACAAAGTCTTTCCTTAAATTAATGCAACACATCTGCACTAATGAGTCCAAAGCCTCAACTAAGCTTACCTGTTATTTTGTTTCTATTGTAGGTCAGACAGTTTCAGACCAAACACAGGAACAGCGTGGTGAGGGTTATCTTATCTTGAGGTTATCTTGAGATGATTTCTGGGCTTAGCGTCCCCGCGGTCCGGTCCTCAACCAGGCCTCCTTTTTGTTACACACCCCCAGGAAGCAGCCCGAAGCAGCTGTCTAACTCCCAAGTACCTATTTATCGCTACGTGAACAGATTATCACAAATTTCCCATTTAATAACTCTTCCTATTTACCTAATTCATCCCAGAAGACATTCATTCATTCATTCATTCATCCATTCATTCATTCATTCATTCATTCATTCATTCATTCATTCATTCATTCAGAAATCCTGACCCAATTTGGCAGCTCTATTTCTCAAATACAGTAGAAGAGGTTCTAAATATATATGACCATAACTCTTGATAAAGCTGTATTTTACATAATTACAGCTTCGTGGTTGACCAAGATGTATTACAGACACTCCTGTAATCAAACTATCTTTATGGTTTGTTATTACAGTCTTACTGAACATGGAATTTCATATATATCTGAATTAATTATCAGAACTGGAAGATAAACTGTTCAATTACACCGTTTGTATCTTTGTTGGATCCCGCTGCCCCCTTCTGCTGGAGCTTAGATGGTTCCCTCTTTGTCATCCATCACAGTCTGGTTACTCATCACATCCATCAGCAGCCCTCATCACTATCACTCTACATCTCTTATACACTTTCTCTGTCTCCTTCATCATCCCCGCCTCACAATCATCATACTCCTCTATGTTCTTCACCATCCTCGCCTCACAATCATCATACTCCTCTACTTTCTTCACCATCCCCGCCTCACAATCATCATACTCCTCTACTTTCTTCACTATCCCCGCCTCACAATCATCATACTCTACATTCTTCACTATCCCCGCCTCACAATCATCATACTCCTCTACTTTCTTCACTATCCCCGCCTCACAATCATCATACTCCTCTACTTTCTTCACTATCCCCGCCTCACAATCATCATACTCCTCTACTTTCTTCACCATCCCCGCCTCACAACCATCATACTCCTCTACTTTCTTCACTATCCCCGCCTCACAATCATCATACTCCTCTACTCTCTTCACCATCCCCGCCTCACAATCATCATACTCCTCTATGTTCTTCACCATCCCCACCTCACAATCATCATACTTCTCTACTTTCTTCACTATCCCCGCCTCACAAACTCCACCTTCTCTTCAGTCTCCTTACACTTGTATTCCTCTTACCTAACCACTTGGACGGTAGAGCGACGGTCTCGCTTCATGCAGGTCGGCGTTCAATCCCCGACCGTCCACCAAGCGGTTGGGCACCATTCCTTTCCCCCGTCCCATCCCAAAATCCTTATCCTGACCCCTTCCAAGGGCTATATAGTCGTAATGCCTTGGCGCTTTCTCCTGATACTTCCCTCCCCTTGTATTCCTCGTCTGTCTTGGCTTCTCTTCCTTCCTCCCCCTCTTCTTCCCCTCCTCCTCAATCCATCCCTCGCTTCTCACCATCTTCCTCTCCATATGCATCTTAATTCCGTCTTTAGTTCCTCTTATATTTTAATATCTCATTTTCCTGTTTTCCTTCCATCACTTCCTCATGCACACTGTTCCCCCCCTGTTTCCCACCTTTCATTCTCTTCTGCTGCACCTTTTTCCCCTCTTCTGTGTGTCCCCTTCACTCCGCCATCTCACACTTCCTTTTCCAATCTATGAGATGAGGAGGTGTGGTGCTGTAAGGAGGAAGAATGAGGAAGTTACTAATCACGGGCTTATTCCTACTCCGGTAGGAATAAGCTCCGGTAGGAATAGGCTCCGGTAGGAATAGGCTCCGGTAGGAATAGGCTCCGGTAGGAATAGGCTCCGGTAGAAATAGGCTCCGGTAGGAATAGGCTCCGGTAGGAATAGGCTCCGGTAGAAATAGGCTCCGGTAGGAATAGGCTCCGGTAGGAATAGGCTCCGGTAGGAATAGGCTCCGGTAGGAATAGGCTCCGGTAGGAATAGGCTCCGGTAGGAATAGGCTCCGGTAGGAATAGGCTCCGGTAGGAATAGGCTCCGGTAGGAATAGGCTCCGGTAGAAATAGGCTCCGGTAGGAATAGGCTCCGGTAGGAATAGGCTCCGGTAGAAATAGGCTCCGGTAGGAATAGGCTCCGGTAGGAATAGGCTCCGGTAGGAATAGGCTCCGGTAGGAATAGGCTCCGGTAGGAATAGGCTCCGGTAGGAATAGGCTCCGGTAGGAATAGGCTCCGGTAGGAATAGGCTCCGGTAGAAATAGGCTCCGGTAGGAATAGGCTCCGGTAGGAATAGGCTCCGGTAGGAATAGGCTCCGGTAGGAATAGGCTCCGGTAGGAATAGGCTCCGGTAGAAATAGGCTCCGGTAGGAATAGGCTCCGGTAGGAATAGGCTCCGGTAGGAATAGGCTCCGGTAGGAATAGGCTCCGGTAGGAATAGGCTCCGGTAGGAATAGGCTCCGGTAGGAATAGGCTCCGGTAGGAATAGGCTCCGGTAGAAATAGGCTCCGGTAGGAATAGGCTCCGGTAGGAATAGGCTCCGGTAGGAATAGGCTCCGGTAGGAATAGGCTCCGGTAGGAATAGGCTCCGGTAGAAATAGGCTCCGGTAGGAATAGGCTCCGGTAGGAATAGGCTCCGGTATGAATAGGCTCCGGTAGGAATAGGCTCCGGTAGAAATAGGCTCCGGTAGGAATAGGCTCCGGTAGGAATAGGCTCCGGTAGAAATAGGCTCCGGTAGGAATAGGCTCCGGTAGAAATAGGCTCCGGTAGGAATAGGCTCCGGTAGGAATAGGCTCCGGTAGGAATAGGCTCCGGTAGAAATAGGCTCCGGTAGGAATAGGCTCCGGTAGGAATAGGCTCCGGTAGGAATAAGATAGGTGACATTTGCTGAACGTTCTACAAGGGAGCAGCACCAACTGCTCCGAGGATGAGCAAACTTTTTATTCATGGAGATTTCATCCACAGGAAAATAGGATAGAAAATAAGTAATCAATATCTTGCTTTGATGAAGGCGTATTCAGCCGAAAACGCGTTCAGCATTCTCTCATTTTTCAAATGTGGTTTGTCAGCAAGTTGAGTACAATCATTGGAAAGTATGTAAAGTCAAACTTTCCGACACTTTTAGCACGACACGTGAAGTTGGAAATGTCAGCAGAAGCACTGATTGACCCGACCATTCAGACTAAGCCTTATCCTGTTGCTGGAGGTACCTGGCCCTGAGACAAGCCTCACAAAATTCAACCAGAACTAAAGACTTGGTAAATACTAGCATTTGATTATATAGAAGAAGTAAAAATACAGGGAGAGATAGATATCTCAGCATACAGGGAGAGATAGATATCTCAGCATACAGGGAGAGATAGATATCTCAGCATACAGGGAAAGATAGATATCTCAGCATACAGGGAAAGATAGATATCTCAGCATACAGGGAAAGATAGATATCTCAGCATACAGGGAGAGATAGATATCTCAGCATACAGGGAGAGATAGATATCTCAGCATACAGGAAGAGATAGATATCTCAGCATACAGGGAGAGATAGATATCTCAGCATACAGGGAAAGATAGATATCTCAGCATACAGGAAGAGATAGATATCTCAGCATACAGGGAGAGATAGATATCTCAGCATACAGGAAGAGATAGATATCTCAGCATACAGGAAGAGATAGATATCTCAGCATACAGGAAGAGATAGATATCTCAGCATACAGGGAGAGATAGATATCTCAGCATACAGGGAAAGATAGATATCTCAGCATACAGGGAGAGATAGATATCTCAGCATACAGGAAGAGATAGATATCTCAGCATACAGGGAGAGATAGATATCTCAGCATACAGGAAGAGATAGATATCTCAGTATACTGAAAAATCAGAGGCACAATGAACTGTGCTGTCAAGAAATTCTCAGAAGCTGAACGCTGATTATATCCAATACTCAGGAACCAGACCTAAGAGTACAACACGGGTCAATGGCTCCGGGTTCGATCCCCGGTGAAGGCGGAGACAAATAGTCAAAATGTTTCTTTCACCCTGATTGTAATATCTCAGTCGCGCACCCCGCTACTATCACTGAACTACCCGTGCAATCTCCGCTCTTTCTATGGTAATAACGGATGCTCTACCGATCCTGTAAGATGTTAACACTCGGGCCGTCATACGAGGACGTAAACCAGTAGACAGAGGAGAGAGGGAGAGAGAGAGAGAGAGAGAGAGAGAGAGAGAGAGAGAGAGAGAGAGAGAGAGAGAGAGAGAGAGAGAGAGAGAGAGAGAGAGAGAGAGAGAGAGAGAGAGAGAGAGAGAGAGAGAGAGAGAGAAGAGAGAGAGAGAGAGAGAGAGAGAGAGAGAGAGAGAGAGAGAGAGAGAGAGAGAGAGAGAGAGAGAGAGAGAGAGAGAGAGAGAGAGGGAGAGAGAGAGAGAGAGAGAGAGAGAGAGAGAGAGAGAGAGAGAGAGAGAGAGAGAGAGAGAGAGAGAGAGAGAGAGAGAGAGAGAGAGAGAGAGAGAGAGAGAGAGGAAGAGTGAGGCAGAACGAGGACGAGAGCAAGAGAGGGAGAACGAGAGCAAATGAGGGCGAGGGAGAGTGAGACGCTAGTGAGAGAGAGTGAGGCAGAACGAGGACGAGAGCAAGA